CACGCTGTGCCTCGAGTTTTCGCACACCGACCTTGGCAGCGTCCTGATCTACTGGGCTCAAGACCAGATTTAATTCGACGGCACAGCGGGCCACCTCAATCACAGCGATGACGGGCCTACGCTGTGGAATCTGATGGCTGTATCCATCCACACTAAGACAGCAGAAACGCGAAACTCGATTATGGGGTAGGGGATTTGGGTAGCCGGCTGGAACAAGCGGATGAGAAGATTTTCAGCAATTCTCGTCTCGAAAAGCTATCTCCCTGGTGGCAGGTGTTATCCGTCGACATGATTTCACCTTTTCAGAGTTCTTGGAGCTGTATGTAGACCATAAAGAACATGCCAGCCAATATGGGCCCCCAAAACCGACATCATGCCTTACCCCTTCCGCCCTTGGAGCTGATAGTGAGACAGACTAAGCCCAGCCTGAGCAGTAGCCAAGACTTAGTCCCTTTATAAACATATTTGGTGCGGTTCTAGAAGTGGGCGCATCAGTGGAGATGCGCTCAACGACCGACGTTCTTTTCATCATCACATAGAAAACCTCATAAGCATGTACTATCTCAAGGTTTTTATTACCTTATATCGTTTATGTAGTCAGCAAAGAGCGGTTGGGGATGACATAGTCGCTTGACCGGAGATAGACCCAGCACTGGAGGAAGTCCAAGCGCTATACTTGTTGGCTCGCTCGTAGCCTCGCAACACGCAGGTGCACCAGATCCATGTTGGAATCGCTGCCGGTGGTCCCAAAAAGGAGGAGGCCCGGGTGCTGGTACGTCGTGCGGTCTGTGTCGTTGTCGTCTCCGTCTCCGTCTCCGTCTCCGTCTCTATCTTGCTCTGCGTTCTTCCAAACGGCACTTTACGGCAGTCGGTGTTTGATCGTCAAGGTCCCGTTGTAGTAGAGCTCGAAAGCCCGAAGACGTGCTGTCGAGCGTGCTAACCACACAAATTATTCGGAACACCGCTGCTTCCATCACCGCGACTGCCACCGCCTCCATTGCTTCCACCTCCCCCTCGATGCTCTCCTGCCCCTCAGTCAGGAAAAATGTGGAACAAGACAAAGACTGATTTTCATCGTAATATCATGCTGTGAGAGTGACTGTTCGTTTCGAAGTCACAAAGCCGAAAGGGACTGTCTTACAGTCGCTGGCCATACCGATGAGGAAGTCTCTGGTATGGCGCAATCGTCTCTTTGAAGAGACATAAGGGCGGCACTGCTTCCAGGATAATGATCTCTTCATCCCTTCTAATTGCATTAAGGAGTTTTGTTGATGCGCACACCCCTTGCGCAGCGGGCAACGGAGCTCCTAAAACAGATGCGCTTTTCCCGGCGAGGCCAGAGAGGAATGTGTTGGCCCCAGCTTACGGTTTCTCATGACCTCGGCTGAACAATCCAATCTCGGCGGGAGTCGGGTTTGCGAGGAAGGTAAGGTACTACAGCCCTCGCGATGGCAAAGCATCGCTCGGTACTTGCTGACCTAAGGCAAGTGTGTTCATTCTACAATTATACTTCTGCACAGTACTGAATGGAAGTGCTGATCTATACACCACGTTATGCTCAGCCATCCGTAAAGGCTCTATGTAGATAACTTGCTGGCTGGCCTGCGCCCAGGTCCATTTCCTGGGCGCAGGGCTTCACGCTTCATCGGGTTTTAGTAATACCACACAAATCTGGACATCTATAGTTTCCCTTGATCGTATAATATACTACCACTTTTTCTCAGGCAAAATTTGGGGCTGATCAGACTCGGCTCAGGTTTGTATCACCTGTTCAGCCATATCATAGGTGTTATCAGATAGACTATGCGATCATCCAGTCCATGACGTGAAGTTGAGGTCAACATAGTCGCACAGACTATGGATTGATGGACCTAAAAGTTTTACACAGAGAAAAACTGAACAAAGATGAGAATAAGACGATATTGTAGTAAGGACTAATGTCGCTGAGGATGTGCAGTCGCACGGGTGGTATGCCATCGTTGATGGCAGGTAGCGAAGTGTCAGCGCTTATTTATCCTCGTCTAAGCCACTAATAAAAAGGATATTTTGTTGCGGCGATAAATGCATCTGACCGAAGTATGTTATGGAGGCAACATGCGCCAAGTGAGGTGTTGCATCTGGGTCATTCGTACCATAGGTTATCCAAATTCGTGCCAAGAGGCGAAGGCCGTTCATGCCCTGCTGCCCAACAAGACCCCACAAAAATGCTACAACAGAAGACTTTTATCAAACAGGCCAAAAGGAATTCCGCTTGTGCTCTGAATGTGGCTAATTGGCGTACATACGCAACAACTTTCTCTTGCATCATATCAGGTTGTAAATAGAGAAAGCGCTTTCTTCTTCCCTAGCCTCCAACATATCCAGACCGTAACAAACACCATTTGAACGGCCTGCCCCTTTCCCTAATCTCATCGAGTCCTGTGAACAAGGGAAGAGAGCCAGAGGATGTTGCAATCATGCATCACTTCAAACAACTCCCTGCCTCTCTGCGATGTCTGCACCCAGCTGAATATCGTGAAGTACTTCCATTTATGCTTGGACAGCCGTGTGGACGACAGTGGATTCGTTGGAGCTACTCCTCAAGCATTCAGGTTGGGTTATTTTAGGGACATTCACCGAAGAGCCCTCCGATGCACCTTCTGCTATATTGTAATTCAAGCGATTTGCACGAAGACTTTGAGTAGGACATCAACAGCCGAAGCTATTATTCAAAGAGACATATCGAGGGGAAATCCGACAGAGTGCTGGATATATAGCTACTGTTTTGCAAGCAACGGCCCTCTGAGCAACCACATGCAGAGAGCATACCGCATTGGTGTCGCATCTCGCACTGTAACGGGATGCTTCATGTTACCCGAAGATCACCTCGGTGATATTCAACTAGTGGCCGATGATTCGCTCAGGCTTTTTGGCTCGCAATCATTCTACGGCCGGCTTTTAGGGTCCAGGAGAATCGTACCAGGCCTCTTGAAACACTGGGTGAGTTCATGCGAGGGCGAACATGGGCTTGCTTGCGAACAGTCTTCCGGCGCGAGCCCTGGGGAACCATCCGGGCTTTTCGTTATACATATTCAGCGCCAATGCATCTGTCGCTTACCGGCAGGGTCGAGATATATCGCCTTAAGTTATTGCTGGCCATCTTTGGATCCCTTCAAACTGACAAAGGACAGCTTCAACGAACTTTTGCAACCATATTCACTAAGGAAAAGCTCAGATTCCCTCCCAGGGGTCATCAGAGACGCGATAAAGGTTGTTTCCGAGCTTGGTGAAAGCTATCTCTGGATCGACGCGCTCTGCATTATTCAAGATAGCGAAGAACACAAAAGGCACCAGCTTTCTCAAATGGATAGAGTATATGGGTCGGCGTTTTTTACGATCGTGGCAGCTCCAGCTACGATGGATACGGCAAAGTGGTGTGCTGGTCTGCCACGATTTAACGACGAGATCGAGTGCAGGCCTCAGATCTCGGCATCTGTGCAGGACTGTCACCTTCTCGGGCCGTTCGAATCCCTAATTAGCCTACTCGACTTCAGTAAGTGGAATACCCGCGGATGGACGTACCAAGAGCTATTGCTATCTCGGCGTCTCCTTTTCTTCACAGACACTCAAGTTTACTTCCAATGCGCTAAGCGCGTATACTGTGAAGACGGAGTAAGCCAAGGGATCAGTAACTCCGCTTACATTTCCCCCGCCAGCAATTTATGGAATCCAGGAAGCACGTTCTCTCCTGGCGTTCACTTTGGTTCCCTACACCTCAAACGCTGGCCGTTTCCAAATAATCAGCATGGGATTCAAGAATACGGAAACATATTGAAAATTACACTACAAGAACTTTGTCTTATTCAACTGACATTCTGAACGCATTCATGGGTGTCCAGAATGTTTTAGAGCACGCTCTCGAGACCAAATTTTGGTTTGGGACGCCGGAACGACTTCTAGACGCCGCCCTCCTCTGGCGACTGACTGATGAACAGAGAAGAAGAGCCCAGGCAGATTCTGTGTTCCCCAGCTGGTCTTGGCTGGGATGGGAGAGTAGTGTCACTTTTGCCTCTTACCTTGACGGGGGTGTGAGACAAGAGGTTTTGGGTTCTTAGTTAGCCAACAAGGGAAGGCGGTTTTGATGGAGAGCGAAAACATCGACGGCCACACTATTTTCCCGCAACAAAGAAACCAAGATATGAAGATGCTGTCGCTTCCAAGTCAAAAAATTCTTCCCATGATACATCCGAAACACCTCGTCGATACAACAAGCGCCGATTGGAAAAGCCCAAGACTAGCAACTTGTCCGATGCTTGCCAGTTTTCGGCTGTACGGAGATACTGCACCTTTGGGCGGCCATGGCATGCTTTGGCCAGAATCAGACAACTTTTACAATCTCGAATCTCAATAGGCAGTGGGTTGGGTCGATCACAATGGACCGTAAATGGGCCGATGACACTCTCAACAGGTCTCAGGTTTTCCCTTTCATTTTGATGTCAAGATCGGAGGACATTTCTCTTATTTCCTATCCCGAAGCCAAGTTCTTTGATAGCGAGATTTTTCTTTTCAGGCCGTGGTGCTTTTTGAATGTGATGCTTGTAGAGTTCTCAGGCAAAAGCGCTCGCAGGCTTCGAGTAGGAGTTATCCACGAAGATGCATGGGTAGCAGCCGTTTCCATCAAAAGGCTTATTATATTAGAATAATTCAGATTGAAAATTTTGATCTTAGTTTCTATGTTTTGCAATAATATGCTTCCTTTGCTAGTAGACCTAGCGAAAGGGGAGAGCAGTTATTGCTTGGATACTAGAATGCAACGGTAAAACAGATTAGCCTCACAATTCGGATTTCCTCGAGCAGCACTGTAGTGTATATACTAAAATATTCTAAGGAGCTTCTCTTAGGCTAAGTCAAGCCCGTAGCTATAACGCCTCTCTACAAGGGCCACTGCGATCTTTGCCGTGGCCGACTTCTAGAACCTCGTCTTCAATCCCGCCCATGGTGCGGCAGCACGCCAAGCTGGGATGGCGCCAAATGAATACGCAAGAAACCTCGAGACCAAGCAGGGTCTCAATATTGAGACTGCCGCCAATAGCCCTGTCATGTCGGCCGCACTGACGCACTTTGTCTTCAGCAGCCTTAGCGACGCTGAGCGCTGGTCGGGTGGCAAGTATGCCTGGAACTTCCATTTCGAGGGCAAGGCAGACGTACCGAAGCACATCAAGAACAAGATACCCGACTTGGCGGCCAAGATGAGCACCGTGCAGGTGGGAATATACGCCAGCAACTGGAAGGGGGGCATGGAGCGGCCGCAGAAGCAGGAGGACGGCTCTTTTGTCGTCCAAATCCCAGACGTGGCCGAAAAAAAACTCCCATGGTTCTTTGTACAGCCTGATACTGGAGTTTACGTCAAGGCGCTGCTAGAAAACGAGCCAGGCAAACACGTTCTCGCCTTTTCCGAAATGACCACTTGGCGTGAGTTCTGGGAGCTCTGGTCGAGCATGCGCGGCGTCAAGGTCCAGGTCCAAGTGGTCAGCGTTGAGAGTTTTTCCAGCCCCTGCCAGAGATTCTCAGGAGGGATTTCGAGAAGTCACTGAGGTATGTCACGGAATTCCGCTACACGGGCGGCGACCCGGATGTGTGCTGCGACTTGCAAGATGCAACAGTTGTCGCTCGAAGCGAAGACGACTCCTCTGAGGGGGTATATTGAAAGCGAAGATTGGTCAAGCCTCGGATAGGTGGCTGGGTTCAGCGTACTCTTCATCGTTGACTAAGAGACTGCATAATAACTTGAAGCTACTTCAGTTTCCTACTTGAAGCGCGTCCCTTTCTTCGGAAACATGAATTCATCTAGCAATAGAGGGCACCACGTTTAGGAGAGAATGTAGTCCCTTACTTGTATCCAGGCTATGCGAAGCATCTGGGCGCACTCAAAATGTCTTGGCCTTCAGCACGTCTTGAAGCTGAGGTCGCAAGTTGTCCTCTGCCGCGGGCGGAAACTTGCGCGTGCGGACTCTGTGCTCAAAGACCCCTCCGGCACTATACAAAGTGAATCAAGCCGTTGAGCATGGCAACAGCGAGGAATTGGCCAATGACCTGACACATATTGATCTCATGGCCAGAAGGAAACAATGAGCTGCTGCGCTATTGAACTCTAGGGCCGCAGGAGCAGAAAAGGGGGCACACCATTGACTAATTAAAGCTAAGCTCTGTCAGTCCGTCAGCCTGTTCAATAAGTAAAACGGAACTGTCTGTAGTTCGTTGATGCTCGGTCTCTGTCTCATCTAGACTGCTCGATAGCCTCGATGTTTAAGTAGGAATTGGGGGCGCCATGTGTGCGAGATATCCCTGACCTCTGGACTGGGAGCAAAGGGACCCAATGATACACAATGATTCGCCATGTGGTGCAGCGAGCGAAGAGGTCGGCTTCTAAATGGCTATTCGGTGCCTGAGGCCCAGCGAGCGCGAGTCCTAACCGGGTTGTGTGCGGGGCGGGCCGCAGCTGCCTCAATATGCCAACAGAGTGAGCACAGCATAGTAACCCAATGCGACTTGTTCTTGCAGGCGTCGGCCAATACTGCCCAAGACATGCGTCTACTTTATCCTCTGTGCTTTTCTTGTAGCCATGGAGCCCTGCGATCATGGAGAGGCACTAGCCTCTGATGACTCCGCGACGTGCGAGTCGGGAGGGCTCTCTATACGCCGCAATCTCGAAGAGCGGCTGGGGGGAATTTGAGGCTCGAGTGAAGACTTGGATCGACGCGGCCCACTGACCGCCACCGGGCCGAGGACGGGGCCGATGTCGGGGTGAATGGGTGTGTCGTCGAGGAGAGCCTGTATCCACGGGGTGATATTATACTCGGCAGCCAACTGTAGAGCTTGCTCTTCCGGAATCCAAGGTGCACCGTCAGTCTCGTCTAGGCTCGTGCTAGGCAGCGACTTGATATAGGCTCGCTCTGCCTCCTCATCTGCAACTTTCGCGTACGGAAAGGTAGCCTTGAACAGGCCCATAGCGGAGATGTAGCCATCCGAGGTTCGACGGAGCAAGAAGTAACAGCTCGGGCTAGGGTTCGACCTGAATAAAGCAGAGACAATGCCCTTTGGCAGAGGCACGGGCATATGTACGTAGTCGGCCGTGACGCAGGAGCCGTCGTTCTTATCGTTACCAGTCAATAGCCCGTCCATGAGCACGGCGCTCGCATAGCGACGACGCGAGATCAGCTCCGAGCCTGTGTATGTTAGCAGTGAGTCACCGCGATCGGCACACGAAGCCGTCATACGAGAGACCGGATGCTGCGCATCGGTCAATAGTGGGTTCGACTTGGCGGGGAGGGTGCGCGCCGCGGGACCCATAGTGGAGGAGATAGATTCATTGATGTGCAGACCGAGAAAATAGCTACGGAAGTCACGCTCATTACAAAATTAGCAACGTGCGCGGGCGCAGATGGGAAATACAAATATGCGAGGTTGCCACATTGGCGGCGACCTTCACTTGTATGCTAGGCGTTGAGTGTTAGGCCGCTGCTTAATTTAGATAACCTTAATTGGTCCGCTACTGAGCCGTCCGCGAGCTTCGGAACTAGCGGTCCGCCCACCCGCAAGCCAACGTAATTGTTCCCTCCCCTCTCCTGAGGTATTGTCATGGTCAGCATGTAAACCATGCCTGGCTCCCAACATGCGCTGACGGACCGACCCACGATCACATACGATGCCGTGATCAATACCGACGCCAACATCATTCTGGCGGCCCAGCATGTAGCCGCGCAAACGGCCCTTGACCGAGAGATCTAGTCGGCGATACCCTGCATTGACGCCCTGGTCAAGCATCATCTCGGTCTGGGCGACGACGTCGACTGCTTCGTCGCACGCAAGAACAAATCTCTGCGCAAAAATCTTTCATCGCTTGCGGCGCCTTGTCCACAATATCCTCGGACCATCGAGCCTCCTCTCGCACTATACCAGCAACCCGACCAGCTACCGTCTGCCCACCGCGTACATGTTGGTTGAGGACGTCGGGTCCCCCGACAGCCAACTGCTGTTCGTTACATGGGGTAAATACCGTGGGGACCTAATCCGAACGAAGAATCTATACCGAGACATGGCGTAAGTGATGGTGGCGGTGGCCCGTATCCCTTAGCCGCGAATTGGGTCCTTTTAATTCCGCGAAGACGGGACTGTTACGCTCTCTAACCGACCTTCGCTGTGCTCCTTGATGATTCTCGAGAATGAGGGCACGCCTATGTATGCGTCGCGGGGCACAACGTACGCTTCAGCCGAGCCCTTCGTCGCGGACCCGAGTGATAGAGCGCGCGCGAAGAGTTCATGGTCGAATTCGAGGCTCAAGAGCTCCCATCCCGCGGTCAATCGGCGGGCCCGCTGTAAGATGTACATCTGGCGCGAATCATGCGCGAAAATTGGTCATCTGGAAGCGTCTTCTTCTACCGGGGCATGTTGTCTACGAACGCAATGGGCCTCATGTTCACGAGATACCTTTAATCTAGATTTTTGGTGCCGTTCTAATTCGCCATCGAAGCACTACTCTCGAGGTTCTGGTTCGAAGAAGCTAGCTCTGCGATTGCAAACAAGGTTGAGCAGTACAAGATGTATGAAGCAGAGTTGAAGACTGTTTGCGAGAGTTGAAACAACAGAGCAGAGATCCCGAATCCTCCACTGGCCCAGGTGGCCCCACGTCTGTCCATTTCTTGTATCCTATTCCTCTACTTCTCCTGCCTCTGTCTTCTTCCTTTCCCTCCCACGGTAGCCTCCTCCATGACACCGCTTGAATGGGGAGAGCGCACAGAGGAGGCTTTGACCTAGTTCTTAGACTCCGAGTCATCCTTTTTTTCGCTTGTGGAATGACTCCATCAAGAATTATCGGCCATGACGAAGTTATTGAATGTATCTCGATCATCTGTACTTATCGTGAGGCAATGAATGACCAGGCAGCGCAGAGGGGGAACGGGTTACGGGGACTAATTCATCAGTCGGAGTCAGTTCTAACTAGGTATCAACTCTAAAAATCAATAAGTATCTAACTAACTTGAGTGTCTAGTAGCATATAACCGACCGCATGGGCCTAGTGTTACCTTCACTGAACTAGTATCTAAATCTCGGTATACTAGTAGCCCTATTCTCTAACAGCGGGAGCCGTAGAGGCGGCCTAAGGTAATTGTCGAGACGTCTAGACTAGGTTTCGGGTACCTCGGTGTCTAAGCTCCTCTAAATCGACTTCTTAAACAGGTCTTAGTTAGGCGGTTCAAGTAGGTAGTTAGCGAATAAACTATAACGGCATGCCTAATAGCCTTGCTAGGGAAGCTCGACTACTATATCGCGTAAGTCTATAGATCGACAAATGCTATCCAGGAGAGGCAGTACCGGGTCCACCGGTATATCAGAACCCTATTCGTTTACGTAGATTGATATATAAAAGCTGCGAAGGTCGCGGCAGTGCTTGGCAAGTTAGTCAAGAATAGGTTCTGCGTGACCTATAGCCAAGGACCGTCTGCCATCATCGGGCCGCGACTGATAGGCATATACAACAATCTCCAGGGATATTATAGATGCGAGTCGAGCAGGGACAATGAGTCGAGAAAGATATGTGAGCAGCGGCTCGGTCCTGATGTAGATGCTGTTGGTAGAATTTAGGATTTTCATTCTTTCTAGGTAACTGGAGTAGTCAGCAAGTCGCCTATGAATACATCCCGCGCGCAAATCAGAGCAACTGCCTTTATGAAGTGGTCTACGCACGCCCGTTTGTATGACTTCAGGAATCCAATGATGCCAATACTAAGGCTTTCGGGCGAGTGTAGACCGCTTTGCTTATCTAGGTCCATGCACTAGTCATTCCATGGCCTAACCTAACAATACCGTTTCTTGCTGCCGGTTAGAAAAGGCCAAGGGCAGATATTCCGTCGATAAATGCCGCCCTGTCATTGCCAGGTATCTGGCCCCGGGCATTTTTCTGCGCGAGGCTGCTGATCGGATCGTGCCGGCACACGACGAGGGCCGAATACCAGGTCCATGTGGACAGTATGATTGCCAAAGGCCGTGATCAGAATTATTCGCCGGATCTCGCCGGGCAGCTCAATGAACAGGAGGCATGTCGACGGCTGCCTTTTCGGCGAGATAGCGTTGACGTCGGGGGAATCGCAGGAAATGGGCGGGCGAGGGCGGCGTGCAGGTGGTAAGTACGGTAGCTCGGGCGCCGATTGCTTTGTGGAACTACATCAGCTGGGGACGCGCTCCCACGCGCTGAGTTTAGCCGTGCGGGTGGTTGGAGCCTCAGAAGGCAGGCAGGACGCTACTCACCGCCGGACAGTAAGACAATAGACGAGAGGGAGACGGTATAATTATCGCTGTTTACTATACGGTATAGTCACCGGTCATTTTTAATGTTGCCTTAAGCTCACAGCTCGTCTCTCTAACCCCATCGGCCTAATAAGGCTGCAGGGTAGCCTTGTTGTCGCAAAGCCGACACGTGACGCGGCACCCTGTCGGACACGTGACCGCTTTGGTGGAGGCACGGCCCGAGTTAGTGTGTATGTGTGCAAGTGTTCATAATCGAGG